AATGTTCTATTATTATTTCTGGAAAGAACACGACCTCATCTATGGATTCTCAAAATTTCAGATTTTTGTGCATGTTCGTCTGAGCACAGAAAATCCCCAAAGTTGCCTCTTGCAAAACACCTGTTTCGTAGTGCCTGACCTCCCTGCTTTGAGAAGACGAGGCTCAACGCCTGGGCCTGAGGGTCCTTTTGCAGTTCACATGCCCTCACTTTTTTTATGGGGTCCGCTTTTACCCGATGACCGGTCCAATGCCCCCAAATTCTTTTTTGGGTCCACTTCCACCCGAGGACCGGTCCTTCGTTTTTCCAAAAGTCCCGGTTCTACCACAGCTAGCTGTAGGTAGTCCGCAATTTTGCCAAGGACCGGTCCCCCAATTTTTTTTGCCCCCTAAGAACCCACTTTGCGTCCTTGTCGCCCCCCGCCAAAAATGCGACACCTTGACACAGACGCGGAAGCCCACTATACTGCAGCCTAAGGGCTGCGAACACAAAACAATTGTCTACCGCGTGGGCGCGGGGAACACAGCCCTAAGGTAGCCAAATCAATGAGACTAAGAGCGAACACAAGAGAGAGAGGGAGAGAGAGAGAGAGAGAGAGAGAGAGAGAGAGAGAGAGAGAGAGAGAGAGAGAGAGAGAGAAAGAGAGAAAGAGTTTTGTTCCATTTATTGTTATGAGTGTGTGTGTGTGTGTGTGTGAAAAAAAAAAAAAAAAAAAAAGTTTTATTCCATTTATTGATATGAGTGTGAGAGAGAGAAAGAAATAGAGAGAGAGGGAGGGGGGGGCCTACCAGAGAGAGAGAGAGAGGTGGGGGGCGGGGACTACTCTAGAGAGAGAGAGAGAGAGAGAGACTAAATGGCAAAATTAAATATGGGTCAAATTGCGACCATGATCTATTTTGCAATTGGAATGATTTTTTAAAATTTATTGGTCCAGGCATGGGCCTGAGGGCCCTTTTGCAGTTCACATGCCCTCACTTCTTTTTGGGGTCCGCTTTTATCCGGGGACCGGTCCAACGCCCCCCACTTCTTTTTGGGGTCCACTTCCACTCGAGGACCGGTCCTTCCGTTTTCAAAAAATCCCGGTTCTACTCAAGCTATCTGTAGGTAGTCCGCAATTTCGTCAAGGACCGGTCCCCCAATTTTTTTTCCCCCCTAACAACCCACTTTGCGTCTTGGTCGCCCGCCTCCGAAAATGCGACACCTTGACACAGACGCGCAGCCTTAGGGTTGCGAACACAAGAGAGAGAGAGAGAGAGAGAGAGAGAGAGAGAGAGAGAGAGAGAGAGAGAGAGACAGAGAGAGACAGAGAGAGAGAGAGTTTTGTTCCATGTATTGTTATGAGTGTGAGAGAGAGAAAGAAATAGAGAGAGAG